CACACACACACACACACACACACACACACACACACACACACACACACACACACACACACACACACACATGCACGCACACGTATACGCACACACACACACACATGCACATGCACACGCACACACGCACGCGCACTCTTTCTCTCTCTCTCTCACACACACACACACACACACACACACACACACACACATACACACGCACATGCACTTGTGACGCGCAACCTCACGCCCTATGCTGTCTTTCGTTCAGAGTGCTATATGTGCGGAAAGAGGCCCAAAAAAACAGCAAGATGGGGTGTGCCAAGGATTTTTGGAAATTGAGTGTGGGGACACAGATGAAACTGAAATCCCTTGTGTTGGTCCGACGAAGTAAGTCTGTGGTTTTTCACGCGTCGCAGAATGCGCGCGCGGGCACGACACGAAAAAGAGAGAAATCCCAATTCAATCCCAAAAGTATTGTCGAGCTTCCCACCGTGCTACGGCCCGTCGTTTAGAGCGGAAGAGCTTTGGCATGCTTCGCGTGTCTCGCTTTTGTATCAAATCCCGTCGACGTTCGCGGGTCAGTTCCGAGTCTGACGTGGATGGTCTCAACTGCGTGGCTCTTTCCTCATGCTCGTCTTCACTCCGTATTCGGTAGTGGAAGCCCTTTGCTTCGTAGCGATCGAAACGCTGGCACTCCGTGCACAGGGTTCGAGGCCAATGGGGCGCCACTGCCGTCCACGGAATGACGATCAGCTCGTTAAAGGGGAGCAAAATTGAGTAGGGCGGAAAGTGCGTGTCAATAATGACAAACCCGGCATCCACAAACCCAGAGCAACGATTCTCGGGAGGGAAGTAATATTGTCCGCCGATTCGTGTGACAGCTTCTCGTACGTCCCACTCGCATACGCGTGTCCTTTCCTCGTTATAGGGGAAAGGCCGTGGGGAGACGGGAGATACGGGAGGCTGGCGCCCGATCGAAGAGTGCTTGTCAGTCCACATATCAATCAACCGCAAAAATCTCGAGACGTCATCAAGAACAGAAAACGCTCACGCAACCCCCAATCAATCTTTTTTCGACACTAGGGAGAAAGAAAGAAGGCACTCATCAGCTTGATCATGCATATGACTAAGGGACCGACCCGCGACTCCATTTTAGTGAGCCAACACAACGTTGGTCTCAGGCGCCTTGTTTCTCGAGGCCGCCCGGTGGCTCAACTGCGGATGTCGTGCAGCATAAGGCAGATGGAATGCGCAGTGCATTCAAAACTACAAATCTAAACACTCTTGCATTCTCGAACAAAATCCAGGCGTCGATTCGTCTAATCAATGCGGAAAAAAAAAATGCATCTCCATACATACATTCACTGTGGAAGGTGCGAAAATGACAGGGGTATACAAGTCAGAAATCAGCCGAGGGAATTGTACGCACGCATCCACCGTTTACAAGACAAGAGGATCAATTCCTCGACATCTGGGGATTACCCAGGAAACTAATGGAAAAGTTCCGGAAGAAGTTCTTCCTCACAAGAAAGCGCACCGTTTCATTCTTATCCAAAAGCAGGCCCGGACAAACACCGAAACACATCATCTTTCAAAGATAGAGGAGAGAGAGAGAGAGAGCGACGAGGAAGGGATGTCGAGATAGAAGGTGACGAGATCCGAGAAGAGGAAGCTCGGCGTTGCCGCCGTAGACTTACACCGGAAACAAAGGTTCGCAACGACAAAGGCGCATTCGCCGTTAATTCCAATATGGCCCCGGGCCAATCACTCACTCAACTCCGATCATCAATCCTCATACCTGCACCGACGGTCCCGGCCGCCGCGTGCTAACTCCCACCACTGCGATCGTCACCCCGCCGACGTAAACTCGACTCGGCTCGCCCTGATCCCACAGTCCGTCGTGGCGATCAAGCGCGCAACCAGCCAGCCTATCGTCAGCCCGACAGGACTTTCCGACTCGCATCAAAACACTCTGCCTAGCCACTGCTTCCCGGAAGCTGGCTTAGGAGTCGAGAACGTAAGAGAGATTTGCGGATGCGCTTGCGGGTTTTATAGTTGCGACAAGGGAGACAGAAGGGTGAAAAAGTGAAGGGAAAGCTGAGGTGTAAAAGGAGAAGCAGGAGAAGAAGACTTTGAGAAGAGTGCTCTGTGAAAGCCATGTTGATCCTTCGAAACTCAAGGTTCAACCAATCAGATTCGTCGCGCAATAGGAAGATCCTATTGATCCACGCACCTGATTGGTGAACGGGAGTTATCGAAGGATCGACCGGGCATCGTGCGCTAGACTCAGAGGGTGAGAGGAGAAAAGGCGCGAGAAGTAGCGCGAGACGGGTCCAAGATTCAGATGATCAAGAAAGGGAAATGGGTGCGCAAAGAGCAGAGCGGGAGAAAGAGAGGGAGAAAAACAGTTACGAGGAGAGAGAAAGAGGAGGGAGAAGGGAAAGGGAGTGCGGGAGGGAGCGATGCGGGGGACAAAGAGGAGAAAGCTCTTGCATGCGCGGCGCTGTCAACCAAAAAGAGAGAAAAAGGCACCGAAACAGTTACAGTTTGCCTCTGTCCTAAACCAATTCAATATTGAAATCACCATATCCGCGCGTGAAAAAGCGACTTGGGAAAAGAAAATCCTATGCCTATTCGTATTCACACAAAATTCCGAGAGTTTTCCCCAACGCGACCAAGAACATTCACACACACGAAAAGGACACGTCGAAGTTCCGCTTATCCCGGAATTCCCAACTGCTGAGCCCAATTCCCAGTGCGCTCGCTAAGGCGCACGTAATTTCCTATGTATTTCCCGACTTGCAAAAAAGAAAAACAGAACCCGGGAATCGAAAAAGCTTCCAGAAGATGAGGGCCAAAAAGAAATGCGGCACCCGAAACCAAGAAAACGAAGCGGGGTTTTTATGGGGTTGGTATGATGCAAGCAAAAGAAGGGGTACGAAAGATAGCACGGGTTCGGGAAGTAGTTCGTCACACACTCTCCTATGTATTGATGGGGAGCGCCACCTGTTGGAAACTGGGTCCAGCGTCCCATGAACATCGTGAATAAAGCACCAACCGGGACCCCACACACACTCTCTTCGACTTGTGTATAGCGAACATGACAAAACATACATACAGCATAATCACTACCTTACCCTTCTCGAACCACATAAACAAACGAACTACGGGCTGCGCACCCGTGCCCTCACGGTAAGTCAATTGAAGGAGAATCAAGGAACCTCAGTCCGGTCCACACGCAGAAGAGAGTTGTAACTTGTGAGGGCCCCCGAATAAAGGGGCTCAGGTGGCAGGACGGCGGAATTCCGCTGTGGGCCGAGGGGCCATATAGAGGACCTGCTGGCCACAAATTTGACACCCGGGTCTGCGTGCAGGCAACATGGACAGTATTCCTGGCGACGAACCAGACCAGGAGCCGAAATCCAAGAAGCCGACGCCAAGCCATTGGCCCTGGGGGTGTTCCGCAGGAACATGGTCGCCCCTACGATAGGCGAAAAGTATCATCCCTCGTAGGGGGACGGAGTGAGGAAGACCAACCAAATGGTCAGCTGCTCGACTCCTGTGTCAGCGCCGAGTTATGCTTCCCAGAAGCGCATCGGCAAAAGTAAAACCAAAAAGCGGCAAGTCCACTGCAATGACGGAAAGTCTTGTTTCTTTTGTTTTTGAAATCTTGCGAAGAGCTTTTTCTTTTCTTTTTTTTTTATTTTTTTTTTTATTTTTTATTTTTGTAATAAAAAGGTTGACGGCCTTGAGATATTGAGCTGACCGGCCGCAAGCAATTCATTAGTAGTTTGTTTTACTTGTCAGGTTCCATCATCTGGATTCGAACACGGGTCTGTATTTTAAGAGTCCATGGGTGTACCCACTGAGCTAGGCTCTTGGGTAGCTTTTTTTGTTTGACTCGGAAGTGAAAAGTCTGTTTTTTTTTGTTTTTTTTTTCCCGCCCCTGAGCGTTTCCGCAGGTAAAAATGCGATAACGGTCACTGAGATGAGAAAAGGACGCGGGAAAGAGCGAGACGTCGTCAAAAATGCGATAACGGTCACTGAGAAATGGAGGCGGGAAAAAGCGAAAGGTCGTCATTGCAAGGCGGTCCTTGCGACGACGATTCGGCGAGGTCCCAGCTAGACCGATTCTCCGTTTGTTGCCGTCGATCACGAAGATCAAACGGGCAGGATCGCAGAATCTGCGTAAGTGGGACCCAGCCCCACGGAGGACCATCAGACGAACGGCTATGGCGGAAAGTGGCTGGCCAATGTTTTATCTTTTCCGTTATTTTTTTCTCAAGGGAGTTGCCATTGCCGGGAAGCCCTGTCGGCGGAAGGACCATCATTGCGTAGCTGCACCCACGGTATAGAAGCATCGCGAAGACAGAGGTGGTGGCGAGAGGGCAGTGGAGGGAAGGAGAGACAAAGGGGAAGGCGGAGGAGAGACAAAGGGGAAGGCGGAGGAGAGCGAGTCTTCCCTCCCTTCCTCCCTCCCTTCGTCGCTCTCTGTCGGTCCCTTCCTTGCTTCCTTCCTCGTCGCCCAGTCGTCGTCTTCGCTCCTCGGCGGGACAAACAAAGTGCCAACGCTTCAGGGGTCTGGTCTTTTCTGCCCTCCCTCCATTTGCGACCCGGTGTCTGCAGAGTGGAGTCTGGAGCGAGGGGAGTTGGACGACGACGAGGAGTAATTGGCAGTTGCGGGGCCAACGCCTCGTCATCATGCACCATCGCCTCTTGCACTTACACGTGTCAATCAATCGGGAGTAATCAATCATTTGAATTGTTGTTGACAGACTGTGCACGTGCGGTTGTACGGACGAACGACTGAATCTTTGTGATCCACGTCATCGTTTCTTCGTGCACGTGTAGGCTTGCGGGCGAGTCTCCGAGCAACAAACAAAATCCACGAATCGTCATCAAGGACTTGCACGTGTGAAACATTGATATGCTGACGTCCACTCGAGGCTGCAAAAAGAGCGAGCTGTCAATCCGAATTGCAGACAAGAGCCAGCATACGTCTGACATCGAACCAACGTCAGAGCAGTGTCAGAGTGTGTCAGCCATCGACTCGCAGGCACGATTGATGACAAGGACGCCAAGTTAGTGCGCAAGGGTGTCTCTCTCTCTCTCTCTCTCTCTCTCTCTCTCTCTCTCTCTCTCTCTCTCTCTCTCTCTCTC